TCTTCAGAGCTCCACAGGGCTTTAGGGGTTTAGGGGTTTCGGGTTTAGGGGTTTAAGGGGTTTAGGGGTTTAGGGGTTTAGGGGTTGGGACTTTAGGGCTTTAGGGGTTTAGGGCTTTAGGGGTTTAGGGCTTTGGGAGTTTAGGGCTTTGGGGGGGTTAGGGTTTTAGGGTTCAGGGGGTTTAGGGCTTTAGGGCTTTAGGGTTTAGGGGTTTGGGGTACTTTCACATGGGGGGTTTCATGCAGGGAAGGTCTGGAGCAGCAGGGTTTGATAATGTAAGAACCTGATGGAGAAACCTTGGATCTTTTATTGTAGGGCTCTTTAGATGGTACTGCTGATATCTTCGGGTTGTAGGACCGGGGGACTTCTTTGTCAGGTTCCTGCATTAGCTTGGCTGCCGGAACGCACTGAAGCTCTTTGCCAGGGCGGTCTGTACTTTCCTCGGGTGTACCACCAGCCATACAGCGAGTATCGGAACCGATCAGTGGCCACGACTGGGCTGACGCGATGGCTGCGTGGGACGAGGAAACAGACCGCTTCGTTGAACCTTGGCACAACTTCTACACCTCCCCCCACACAGTCAGGTTCGTCGTCGATGAAGACACCCCCGTCAGCGCGCGTCCAGTTCTTCGTCAGGTACCATATTAGTGCAATTCGACGAGAATACACAGAAGGATCGTCCGCGAATGCTGCATAGGTAGCCTCGTCCGTGTGCGTGTCGATGAAGTCCGAAGGACCGTAGCGGCCGAATCGAAACTCCGCCCTTGTCGGAGCAGAGCGGATCGCTGGAATCAGACCCCCCAAGGCTGTCTGCAGGGCATTGAAGGCATCCCCCGTCTCATTTAGAGCACGGTACCCGAAACGATGCACTGCATCGTCCATCTCCATGGGTGCAGTCTGCCTCCACTCCTCCTCGTTCAAGGCCTCGGCCAGTCTGAGAGCTTCCTCCGCCACTTTCTGAGGCACAAAGTCGCGCACGCGAGCGAGGCTCCAGGAGGCTAGCTCTGGGATGATCTCCTCGCGCCGATGCTCCGTCCAGGCTTGCAGCGCAGCCTCGTCACCGAGCCAGTTCGCCAGAACCTGGGTTCCCGTTTAAACTTAAGGAAGTTAAGTAACATGATGACACCGAAATTTAGAGTATCATAGGAGAAACAAATAGCACCCCAGATTGGGTTTTCGTGTGCTGATAGCTGAAATGTTGCTTAGCAAGAACCCAGGGACAGCGGAGGCTTTGCTCCCGCCTTGGGCCCCCCTGCCCAGTCTAAGCCCGCACACACGCGGGCAGAAGAGCCTGGCATGGGGCTCACTCGAGTTCATGTGCTGGGTGCTAGAGGACAAGGATGGGGGTTTGCAGAAGCACTCCGGATAGCGGAGGGATAGTATAGAGGCCTTAATAATTAGAATAGGGTTTTGGGGCCCATTATACTATAATTATGATAAAGAACCCCCAAAAAGACCTATTCTAATTGTTAAGGCCCCTACATTAATGCTGAAAAGAGGCTCTCATTTACCACAAAGTCGGGCCTCCCGGGTCGTTGCAAAGCCAAGCGCACAAAGGAAGGCCCAGCAGTAGCCGCCATGAAGGCCAGCAGACCGAGCAGCGCCTTCGGGAACTGCCGTGCTACCCAGAGAACCCAAGATCCCTTAAAAGGCCCCTATACTTTAAGGTATATTGCTTAATTAAGGTGGTATTGGGTTCTATGGGTATGAAGCCTAAGACAGTTTCAGTTCAAGGTCGGATTGCGGGATTCAGGCTAGCCGTCTTCATGAACTGAAGGCACTGACCACTCATGTAAGCAGCAGCTGTAGATGTTGATCGCGGACTAGAACTGGACAAGAACGGACCAACACCCTAAACCCAAAGTTTGTATAAACCCAGAACCTTAGCCACCGTCCCGATCTACCAGACTGCCCCCGAAGTTTCCCCCTCTAAATTTCAACCATGCACCCTAAACCTAAAACCAAAAAAGCCACGCCAGAAGCCCCAACAATTGAACCACAGCCCAGATCCTCCCTACCTGAAACTTGAAACCCTTCATCCCCAGACTTCGCCTGCCTCACGCCCATGCAAAGGCGACATGGGGCCAAGAAAGCCGCGCCGGGCCGATGAACAAAGAGGCTGCACGTAAGGAGTAACTACCCTTTGATTCATCTCGCGCTCGGGGCTTGGCAAAAAAATGCTTGAGGGTTCGTTCGGGTAGGGTTTGCTCTGTGCTCTGAGTATATCCCAGAGATCACGACACTCCTTAGAATGCGTAGGGCTTTTTGCACTTTAACATTCCTGAATCAAGGCGCGTTGGGCTTGGGCCGTCTGGCTCTGCTTGCGCTTTACATGGGCTTGAGGCTTTGCTTACTACGTTTGGGGCCTTTGGGCCCAAGCGGCTTTGGTCATGGATCCAGAGCATGGGGTTTAGGGTTCGAGGGCTTTAGGCTCTAGGGCTTGAAAAGGACTTTGGGGTTTCGGATCCTATGGGGAACTGACTACTCTAGCTGCAACTTAGATTTCCGGCCTTCTAAACCAAAATCTTGCTTTGACAGAACATGCAGCCCCAAAAGCGTACATCCGTATATCCTCAAATCTATCGAAACCCTCTTGCCCGAAACGGGAGGTGGGCTTGAAAAACACTGAAACCCCGAAGCCCACGTCTTCCCCGCGTGCGTGCCTGGGAGCTCGAACTCCGCTCCTGTCCCCGAGGCTTCTGAAAGTGAGGGCTTCGGGCTGCGGTGTTTAGGGCTCTACGGGTTCTAGGGCTAACGTAGGGTCTGTTGAAAGGCCATTATACTGTACTTATCCTAAGGAACCCCCACAAGAGTCTTGGTAATTGTTTTGGCCCCTATATTGAAGTTAAGAGTCGGGGGCTGAAGGTGTTCAGCGGCTGAAGCCTGGGGCTGGGGGCTTTGGCAGGGAAGGGCTGGAGGGTTGAGGGACTGGAAATGGCGTTCACAGGCCACAATTCCGCGAGCAGCTGCCCTGTCCGAGATTTAGATGGACATTGGCTCTAAAGCCAGTGTTGGTCTCATTACTCTTCACAATCAAATATTGAATACTCCTGATTGATCTTCTTGATTCTTGCTCTTAATTGATGGTAATGGTTCCTCTCAGCATTGCTCGCACCGTAGCTGCTGCTTTGCTGAAGTCTCGTCCCGCTGCGACTTTAAGTTAGCTGCCGCTGTGGACCGGAAAGACAACCAGGACCATGAAACATAGAAACATTCTCCTGACAGCTACTACGTACTACTGCGCTTGTCGCTATGCACAACATTGCACAACCCTGGAAGTGGAATATGGCAAGGGACGATTCGGCGCCACTGATGCTAGCATAAGGCCAAAAATGAAAAATAAGAGCATGGGCGAGCACAGCAGTGGGGGTAAGAGGAGGAACAGGATGTCTTTTTATAACAAGATATGCCAAGAATTCGTGCAAACAGCCCTGACTCCTTATCGAGAAACATGCTAGCAGTACTCTCATGGAGCTGGACAGATGCTGCGTTGCCTCACGACTCCGGCGATCTACGTGGGGCAGTACCGCAACCATGGTGTAATATAACCATGGCATGCCAGCAATCAAAGAACGAAGACACTCAGTTCTTATCAGTGACGAAGACACTGCACTGATGGTGCAACAGCAATGCGACGGCAGTAAGTGCGGGAAGAAATGGCCGAGAACAGCATGTGCTGAAGCAGCAGCATCAGCAGCAGCAGAAAAAGCAGCAGCAGCAGCAGCAGCAGCAACGATGGCACCAGAAGAAACAAAGGCAGCGATTAGATTACCGTCATCATAACGATGACGATGATGATGGCAATGATGCTGATGATGATCATGACGACGACGATGATGACGACGATAACGACGATGATGACGATGACGACGACGATGATGACGACGACGATGATGACGACGACGATGATGACGACGACAATGACGACGTTGATGACGACGATGATGACGATGATGATGATGATGATGATGGTGGTGTCGTATATTCGCTTGCGCCGACTATGCTTCCGATGACGAAAACATATGACGATTGGTACCCTCAACCCATTATCGCTGGCACAAGCCCACTACCAGTAAATTCTGGCGGCCGTCATTCTCATCATGCTTTGCCGCAGGCATCTGCGTACTTTGAGGGGGTCCAACACGTTGCTATTAGTTGCAATGCGTTGCCACTTGGCTCCTCTGGGCCATCGGCGCCACCCAAATCAAATCCATCGAGCAAGAAAACCAAAACCCCAGAAACAAACCCAACAGCAGTCCTGCTCAAAAGGGAGGAAGATCTTCTCGAGTGCCTCTGGAGGGAGGCCGACACCTGAAGTCAGGGTGGCTGACGGAGCAGGGTTCCTCATACACAGAAATTCTTAATTTTCCTGGTCCGCAGTTGCTGTTTTTGGGCCTGTCCATCTGGTTGTGCGTCCGTGCAGGAGTAGGCATTTTGCGGCCCCAATCGAACATCCCGAAAAGGCATGGGTTTTGTTGGGGCTTTCTGCGAGCCAGGTGGCCGGTGTCCACCACGCGGATCTCCAGCTCACTTGCATCGGCCAGGTGAGTGCAGCTTATTGACACCTTGGTCGAAGAATGAGAGGGGGCCTTGGAAGTTGGATTTATCATAAGAACCCTTAGGGTGGCAGGGTTTAGGGGAGTAGGGGGCCTTAATTCCTACTAGTCCCCTATATACCCCCCTAAGGGTCCCTATGAATTTTCAGTCGGGCGACAACTAACTGTAAGTATACAGAGCGCCCACTTGTAAGCCCTACACAGTCCAAGCCCGCCGGTGCGCCAAAGGTGGAGCTAGAGTCACGCGCACTCAATCCGGAACCCTAAAGCACTTCATAAACCCTGAACCCTGACTCCTAAACCCTAAAATGCTACAACCCTAAATCCTAAACTACAACCCTAAGTCCAACACCCTGAAATGCTCAGGGCCGCTTTGTGCAGCCACTCAACCAGCCACTGAGCTTCCCTTGCGAGGCTGGAGCCTTTCGAAAACCAGGCATGCGACTTTAGGAAAAACGGATATAACCACGATATGGTGCATCTGATTTAGGTTCAAAGTTTCCTGAAAGCTTCAGTGTGGAGGGCATGTGCACAGACTCAAAAAGACAGGGGTGTATGTGGAAAACAGCGTTTCCGTGTAAGCATGGCCAAGAGCCTCCTGAACCACCAAAGATGATTGGCGACAAGAACTAGAAGAGAACACACATTGCCCTAAACTGCCCTAAACCCTCATAAACCCCTGAGCCCTTCAACACTAAACCCTAAGCGGCCTGACAAGACAGGACACCGAGCCGGCAGCCGTGAACTTGCAGGCATTCATCACCAGGTTGTACAGGAGCTGCGTGCACCGCGAGGTGTTGCCTAGCCTTGGTGGGCGTATCGTGTAGGGGTTTGGGGTTTTTTGGGCTCAGACTCTCGGGTCTATGATTTGGGTAGTTCTCTAAATTCGGGTCCCTTTTGAAGTCCCTAATATAGTACGGCACCCTGATAAAAAGAACCCTAAAAGGGACCCTAATTTAGAGAACTACCCATTTAGCGTTTCGGGTTTTGGGGGGGTTTGAAAGGTCGACCGTCTCGTTCTCACAGGGTCGTGGGGATGAGGGTTGGAAGTTCAGAGGTTCGGGGTTTAGCTTGGGGCTCTTTTTTCGCTGCGGGGCTTCCAGGAGTACCTGGTTCCAGAAATGGGTTTAGGGTTTAGGGTTTTGACATCTTAGACTATCGTCTTCAATCTTGTTCGAAGACAGGCAGCGTGGCTATCCTTTCAACAAAGCCACAGCTGACCATTTCAAGTCCCGTCGATCCTCACAGCTTAGCAACACCAGGGGGATCTGCTCCTGCTCTGCCATGAGATTTTTGATCTCGACGCCTGAGCTCTAGGTCTGTAGGAGAAGAATCGGAATTCAAGCACCCGGCTTGCGCCAAAGAAATGAAATGGGACTCACTTGCACACAGAAATCCCCAAACTGGGAGTTGCCTGGTTTCAGCAGCGGCTTGTTGGCCTTGTCCACGGCCAAACGGGCCATGGTCACCACCTGCCGGGGAGAACCGATTCTTGGACTCGCGAAACCTCAACTGCACTTGGTTTGGAGCTTCAGGGTCCGAATGCGACCACAGTGAGGGTTTCGGCCAAAGCTTCTCCGAACGGTCAGTGCCTGCGACTAGCCCGGTTTTCTGCAGAAGCCGACGGCTGTGAGAATCATGTGCTCGAGAATTTGCGACTTCGGCTTCGCAACGGCTTCGCAACAGTTTGGGCTTACGGCTCCAAGAACGAGCTCAAGTGCCTCTGGCACATAGTATCATAGGCCGGCTCGGTCCCAAAATGCAACGACCGAAACCTGGCTGGTGCAAACAGCTATAGAGGTGTGAATCAACGATGCTGCTGACAGCCTCAAAAGAAACACGTTATGACACAGCAATGCCCAAACGCAGAAAACCTATAAGCCTGTTGAAAACCCGATAGCACCCCACAAACCCCCAAACCGAACCCCTTTGTTCTCATTTTCGAGGCTCTACATTACACCACAGAGTGCCGTTGGCCCCCTGGATAGACGAACCCTGCGCCTCTTCGGCGACGGCTGCGAAACTCACCTGCAGCAGCAGACGAGGGCGTCGCATTTATGGTTTCGAGTTTGGGCCCTTGGGGCTTAGAGTTTAGGGAGTTCCGAGCCCCTTGTAGAGAAAACCTGCAAAGTAAGGACTTCCGCGAAGAGGGGTTGTAGCTACCTTCGGAGAAGCCTGGAGAATGGAAGCACTTCGAAGAGAAACTCAAACAAGGGTTTTGGGGAGTTTCGGGGTTTAGGCCAAGGCCAATGGAACTGCTTGGTCGGGAAGGGCTACCCGAAAGCCTGACGGCACGGAGCCCCCCGACCCCAGCCTTTTGAGAGGACGCAGAGGGCTCGCTGAGCAGCTTTCGTTGCTCTCCTGTTTACCCAAAGGGTCCTATGTACTTTCCTTAATAGACTGTAGGGTTTTTATGCCAGGAGGTACTATATGCTAATTTAGGGAAGTGTCCCCGTAACAATACATAGCACCCTATGGACTGGGCTCGAGCTTAGAGTTTGGGGGGCTGGGAAATGCAGAATTTCTGTTATATTTTACTGACTATACTATATTTGATTTTACTATAAATATGTTATGCTATGTGATCTCTCAAAGGGCATTTAAGAGAACCACAAGCCACACCACGCCAGACAGTATAGAAAGATGTAGAAAGTGGCAATGTCTGCGACAGCTGATCATGCAAGCCTCCCGAGGTCAGCCCCCCACCCCCCCCCCCGAACGCACTGAATGCTGAGGTGTTGACCGGATCTGTTTTCGAAAGCCAAGAGGGCTAGAAGAGATCCAAGAGCTGCTGCACTTTATCGTTTCAGGAAGTCTGCAGATATCAGGGATTCGAAGCAGGGATCTCCCCCCTTCGATACACTGCACTAGAACACACCTTGATATACAAAAATCTACGATAATATACTACGATAGTATACGACAATATGATATCATGTAACTACTATGATATACTTTATTCTCTTGCTGCTTGAGATTTCCGTCTCCTTCGGAGAGCTCCAAAGCATTGGTAACGACATCCTGAGCTGGAATGGGTTTAGGGCCGTTTAGGGCTTCGAGTTCCGACTATGTGGTTGATAGAAAAAGGGTTTAGGCTTTAGGGTATAGGTCCGGGGTATAAGGTACAGAGTTCAGGGAAAAGGCATCAGATTTTTGGGGGGGTCGGGGCCTGGGACTGGTATGCTTCCGGGACTAGAGCAACCGGCCTGTTAGGATGCAGTCTGTGCTCAACCGTTGCTTGATGGAAGAGGTCTGCAGCTCGTCAACAAAGACCCTGCGGCGCTGCAGCTGAACAGTTGGCCAAACAAGCCCGAAACCCATGTCACAGCCCTCGTTCTCAGCACTCCGCAACACGTATTCGAATGGAAGAACAGAACAAGTGGACAGGCGAAGTACATTCCCCGTGCAGTCGTTCATGTGCTCTCTCATGGCCCAAAAAATCAACACGGCGAGACACTCTAAACTTACTAGCCCGAAAACCCTACAACACAGACCAAGAAATAAATTCCTGAAGATCCTTTGACCTAAAGCCCTCAACCCCGGAATCAATCAAAATCTAGATCTAGCCAAAACCTTAGGCTTGTCCCTAAATCTGTTAGCGCCCTTACTCCCTTCACACCCCAAACAACCCAAAACCCTAAACTTTCCTCAAAAAAGCTAAACATACCACACACCCGAACTCCCTTCTACGTCCTTTGACCCCTTGAAACCCTAAACCCTAAACCCTAAACCCAAATTAAACCCTAAACCCCAACTAAACCCTAAACCCTAAACATCCCTAAACCCCTAAACCAAAAACCCTGATTAAACCTTAAACCAAAACAATCCGCAGCCCTGGACCATGAACCGCCCGGGTCGCCAGGAGCCGGGAGGCACTCGCGCGCATCATGCCCAGCCTGGGATCTCGCTAGGCGCCTAGGGGTTTAGGGTTTAGGGATTTAGGGTTTAGGGTTCAATTAGGGTTTAGGGTTGAGGGCTTTAGTTAGGGGTTTAGGGGTTTAGGGTCTAAGGGCGTTTTACTCCAGGCATTTCCAGTTTTGGTTTGGGTGTCGAGGGGTTTTCGCTTCTGAGAGCGTGGGGTTTTGGGGGTTGTGGTTCAGGGTCTTAGGGGTGCTCGCGGGTTGACGTTTCGAGGTATAGATTTACAGTACAGGGATGCCTGCGCTGGCTTTCGGGCTTTTGGGGTTGTTGGGTTGTGGTTCCACCCCCCAACGTTATGCCCAAGTTTTGACGACGCTGCCGGCGCTCTTTAGAGCCCGAGCGATGGGTGCTCCAGTGGCATTTGGGCTGGCCGCTTCGATATGCCAGGCACACTTCAATGGTGTGTGCGTGTGTACGTCTGTATGTAGGTAGGGAGGTAGGCAGGCAGGCAGGCAGGCAGGCAGGCAGGCAGGCAGGCAGGCAGGCAGGCAGGCAGGCAGGTAGGTAGGTAGGTGGGTATGCAGGTGGGAAGGCATGTGCACACAAACGGGTGCAAATCTTGTGTGTGCGTGTATGAATGTATCGATATATCGATATGTCTCTGTACACGTGTGTGTGTGTGCGCTTATTTATTCAGCTGTTTATGTGAGTTTTTTGATTTATGTTCATGCATTTATTTTCGCATAGTTAGTTGTTTGGATACAGAGCTGCGTGCAGAGACATAGACACAGACATAGACAGTAGGCTAGATATATGTATGTCAGGTAGATGCGATAGATAGATAGATAGATAGATAGATAGACAGACAGATAGATAGATCAGTAGGTAGGTAGATAGATAGACACGCAGATAGACAAATAGACAGAAACACAGATGGACAGATAGACAGCTAGGTAGGTAGGTAGGTAGGTAGGTAGGTAGGTAGGTGGGTGGGTAGGTAGGTAGGTAGGTAGGTAATGTACGGCTACACCGTCGTCTATTTCTTCACAAACTTCTTGACAAGCAATACAGGGACATGCAGGGACCTTACTAATGATGGAAGGGATTTGCGTGTGATACAGTAGATACGGGGATGATACGGGGATATTTGTGTGTTTGTTATTCTGGGCCCTTTAGCTTGGGAATCTACGATGAAGTATCTCAAGAAGGGGTTTGCCTTTGAAGTGGTTGGCAATGGCTTCTGTACAAAAACCTAGAATCTAGAAGTGGGTTTGGGGTTCCCTGAAAACGCTACAAAGGTTAGGATTGAAGATGAGTCAAAGCTTCCGTCTTCGAGTCGCTGCGGACATATCAGTGGTAGCACAGAGTGATTGGAATTAGGGCGGTTCAATTAGGGCGTAAAGCGTTCCACCACAGCAACATTAATTGCTCTTCTTGTTTCGTCTGGCTCCAATTCTGATAAGTGTTCTTGATGTGCTTTCATGATTCCAGATAAAGGCAATACAACATGAAACCAGGAATCTACAAAGCTAGGCGTTTTTGCAAAAACTGTCCAAATGCTTGGGTCTGGAAACCCTGAGTTTAACATGCCACTGGCTGCTACACCTGCTCGGTTCTGAGCCAGGGAACTGCTTTTTCGCCCCAGCAGTTGCCGCGGTCTTCTCCTTGTAGAACTGCAGTGTCTTGAAACGGATTCGTACGACTACTTGTCATTTTTTTCACAGAAAACAATGCAACTCTTTGCTTACTTCTTCATTCATTTACTTCATTCATATAAAACATGTTACAGCTGCTGATTCGCCTGTCTCTTTTGGTCATATATATGTGTGATATGTGGTGTTTCCGTGCTTACACAGCTAACGTTGTGCCGAGTCTACTTCTTCTTGCAGTCTCCTGGTCCTCAAGGATCTAGTGCCGGAGGGTAGAGACGAGAATACTAAGGTCTGAGATCCCATCATCATTTCTGTTTCAGTGAGTTCAAACATGTGCGGATCACAGCAAACAGCTGGTGTTTTGGTATGTCTTCGGCTCGGGGTCTAAGGCTCATGCTAGAGGAACAGCTTCCAAAACCGGAGAGCACGGGTGGCTTGAAGCTTGAATTGACTAAAGGTAGAGACTACTTTAGAGGGCCTAAGGCTCGGGTTTCGGGCTTAGTCTACGGCCGTCTTAGAAGTGACCCTCAATCCATCTTCGGCCTTGCCCGAACACAGGCTCGGTTTAGGGTTTCGGGTGCCCCTGTAGTTCCAGAAGCAAACCTAAACCCCTCCCCCCGAAGCTCCATGACGGTGGCGAGGCCGACCATTCCATGGAGGGGCGTGCGCACCTCTTGCGTCACCTTTCATGTTGGGCGCTTTCTTTCAGAAATCTTTGTAACGGCGGGTTCTTTCAAAGCCTGAACCGGCTTCGAACTTTCACGGATTAGGGCCCTCCGCTTCGATGTGGAGGAGTGCTGGGGGAGCCCGAGCCCGCGGGTCTAAAACCACCAGCTTGGGTTGAGGCTGCTCCTACTGCTCGGAAAGGGGCCTGTGCTGCAATGCTGTACTGGACCTGAAGTCTCCTGCGGTGACGACGGCTTCGACCACACCACGGCAGTGGAAACGAC